GCATCATCCACGGGCACCAGCTCAAGCCGCCTGGGCCTGGGGGCGACGCCGACCGTGAGTCCGCATCCTGGCTTCAAACCGATCGTCGGGGGTGGGGGCCGTCGAACCTTCGCGAAAGCTTGCCTGGACAAGCAGGAAGCGCGTCAAGCGTGCCAGCGCAGGTCAGTCGCCTATTCGGGAGAGGCGGCGAGGAAACCAAAACTAAACAACGACACCAAGACTCTTCGCTAGAAAACGGGGCGAGGCAAGGGCCGAAGGCTTAACTCAGTCGCCGAAATTCGGGACATACGGCATAATGCTCCCCAGAATCAGTAGCGCCGCCCCTTCCACAGTTCCAGCGACCTTGAGCAGGGCCACGGTGGAAACGAAGACTAGTGCAGACACCCTGAGCAACAACACGGAGAACTGCTAGGCCAAGGTAGCTCCTGGCAGGCAACGGGCAACCAGAACGATGCCTAAAATTGGGAGGCACTGACACCAGGAAACAATCTTACAACCCTCAGGTGGAAACAACGAATGGGGTGGATGGGAGGGGTGCGGGACCTCAAGCGGGCAATCAATTTCGTCCGAAATCAAGAAACTGGCAGAAAAGGAGACGCAGCACGGAATATGAGCTCCCCATGTCGAAACCAGCGAGAGAAATAATGCGTGCTGCCACCACGGATAGCAGATGCGGCCAGGGTGAAATCCATCCTGCGTCGTGAGATCCCAACAGCATGCGAACCTTCCCACACGCCATCGGGTGGCGTGCCAAGCGGACCTGAGTAGCGACTCCGATCCTTGCCAGATCAGGGGATTCCAGACTGAGCCCAAGATCCCGAAGCCGAATATACCTCGCGCAATTGAATGGGAAGCGGGGGCCAGCGAACAATTTCTGTCGTATGCTACCGTCGTATGGGGTAACTGCACGACGTACTGGGTATAACTGCGTAGCAACAACAATAACAACAACGAAGAACCGACATGGCAAACATCACATACGACCGTACTGTCATAGCGAGCCCGAGACGCATCTGGCGAATTGTAATACAGCGTTGATCGAAGTTCCGCAGAGCCGAATCCCAAGTCCCAAGCCACCCTCTACCCGTCAGGCCCAACCTGGATCCCAATGTAGCGAGCGTGCCGACTAAGCTGAATCGAAAAGGCCCCAAGTCCGGGTGTCTCCGAGAGGCGCTTAACTTGTCAATCCGTTCTGGAGGTGAGAGACAAACCACAGTGAATGAATTAGCACACGCACACGCACACTTACAAAGGTTGAGTCGCACCAATCCCTGCAGCAAACTTCTGCAACAAGGGTAACAGGAAAGGGAGTTCAAGCGCGAGGTCCCTGAACCCAAACCAGGGATCACAGTTAGCTGAAATGAGACGAGGAGCCGCAATGCGAGCCAACGAATACACAGATCAATTGCCAGGGCGAACGATAGCATGCTGGACGGGCCTCCTTCTTGATTGACTTCCCGAAAAAATCGGATGCTCCGATGACGCCTCCCGCCGAAACAGACAATCCCAGAGCTTTCAGAGTACAGTGTTTCAAAGTAGCCAGTAACCCAAGGATGGATCTGCAGAAGTACCAGGACCCGAAGAAGCCAGGGCATCGTCGTGCTCGGAAGCGCGGCCGCCAACCCAGTCAGGAACATCCAGGCCCGAGCATGAAATGCTGCACCCCCCGCCTATTGAGGCAAACCATGAGTACTCAGGGGCCTGTCGAAGCCAGCCGGGGCTGCGTACCTGAGGGGGCTGAAAGCCTGAGGAGGAGGAGGAGGAGGAGAAAGAGGAGGAGGAGGAGGAGGAGCAGCAAGAGAAGGAGGGGGAGGAGGAGGAGGAGGAGGAGGAGGAGGAGGAGGAGGAGGAGGAGGAGGGAGGACTAAAAGGAGAAGGAGGGAGGGCAACATGCGCGTTCTCCTTTCGTGGGGCGCCGTGGTGCTCAACGAGGTGGGCGGGAGCACAGGGGGGAGAGGTAATGATGATGAGGCGGGTGAACATGAGGATGACCATGGTGAACCCAATATGCATCAACGATGCTGCAGGACACCCTCCAGTCCAAAGTCCCCTGTTCTTGGGTCCCTACAGCGTCCCCTGCTCTTAAGTCTCTAAACGCCTTCTGCTTCACTCCATGAAGAGCCCCCTCTGCAAGGATAACACCCCCCTGGGCCATGGGCCTGCTATTCACGCGATGTCCTCGCCCAGCAAACAGAAGCTGCCGAATTAGCATCCGTCTAGCGAGTACAAGGATTGCGAACAACTCATCGAATGCAACGAGGGAGGTGTCCAGCGATATCCCCAGCGAGATCCTGGACTGGAGAACGAGAAAGTAATCGAGTTCAACGAGGTGTCCGGCGAGATCCCCAACGAGATCCCAGTTTGGAAATTTGGCCGCTCCACTTGTGTAAATGGTGCACAAGATGACGAACACTGAGATGTATAACGAGAGGGCGTCTTAGGCGGCAGCCCCGTTTCGACAAGGAGCCGCCATCCACGCAGCTAGCTGTTACATCTGTTTAAAGCACCAGGCCTATAGAAGGGAAAAAACCGAAAGCGGTAACTCCGCGCTGAGTGACGCCACCCTCCACCCTCCGGGCCGCATGGGGGACGCGGCGAGGTCGGGCGCTGAAGTTCGAGGAAGCGCTCGACGACAGCCCTGCAAAGGGCCCCCCCCCTTTCCGCGCAGATCTTGCGATTTGATTAAGATACATCTGGACGCGCGGTCGCCGCCGTCTCCATTGCGAAGAAAAGCCGCCCTCCATCCGTGCGATGTTGGAACAAACTTGCGCGCGATGTGAGATGCGTTAGCCAGCGTGGACCCCGCGCCGCCATTTCTTACAATCGACGCGCTGCTAATTACGTGTCGCTATCAATTTGGCGTTTTCCAGATGGTTCGATGCATGTGGCGTAGCTTACGAGGCGCAACGTAGTGTTACCAACTCTTGAATTGTCAGCTCCGCTGCTCGCGCAATCACCCCGCCCCCCCCCCCCCCCCCACACACGCGCTACTCGGTTTGCCAAACCCGCGCGGCAGCCACCGCGATGTTTGGCCAGGGTTGGCGCGCGCGCGCGAAGGCGCGCGCAGAGCGCCCGGCTGGTTTGGCGCAGTCGGTGAGGCCGCGATCGCGCCTACCGATGGCAAGTAACGCCCCAGCGCGCGTCAGACGTCGAGCTGGCGCTCGGGCGCTTCAATGCGGATCGATGGCTCGGGCGGGCGCGGCTTCGTCACGACGTCGACGACGGCGGCAAAGATGATGATATCAGCTGCGGCGGTGGCGATGATGGCGACGACGACGGCAAGGCCGACGACGGCGCCGACGCTGGTAATGCCGACCGATAAGGGTGATGTTGTCCATGTGCCACAGGTGAAGGTGCTTGAATGACGACGGCGGCAAGTGCGGCGACTGTCGATGACGGTGGCGCGATGCGGCGGCGCTGGCGAGGGCGATGCCAGGGGGGCGCGCGCGCGAAAATTCAAACATATCCAGGTAATTTTCAGTTGAAGGACACGCTTGTTTTTGGCCATAGGTTTTAAAAGGAGAAAACGCCATAAACATCAACTTTTGGCGTTCCGCGCGGAGTTTTTGGATCCGCGCTGGCCCCCCCCCCCCCCCTTCTAGCGCGCGGAGCGCGCCGGGGGCGGCGCCCCTGGCGCCGCCTGGGGGGCCCAGCGCGGACCCGAGAAACCCGCGCGGAAAGCCACAAGTTTATGTTTGTGGCGATTTTGTCCTCTTCTAGTCTTGTGCCCCGGCAAGGCCCCGGCAAGTCCCCGGCAAGTCCCTGGCAAGGTCCCGGCAAGGTCGGGTCAGAGATGCCGGAGTTCTGTTTCGGAGTCCAAGAGGGCTCCAGATCGGTCCAAGAGGGCCCCGAGAAGCTTTCTAGACGGTCCAAGAGAGGCCCGAGACGGCCAAAGATCGCCCGAAGACGCCCCAGATGGCCCCAAGACAGCCCAAGAGGCCTCCAAGACGCTCCAAGGGCCTTCCAAGAGGCCTCCGAAGAGGGCCCCAAGTTGCCAAAATCGTTGATTTTCATTGTTTTTTTCGATGTTTTTTTGCGTTCTGGCCTTTTCGCTTCCGGACGCTCCAAGAGGGCCCAAGAGGCCTTCAAGACTGCTCCAAGACGGCCCACGAGGCTCCCAAGACGGCCCCGGAGCGGCCCAAGAGCGCCCCCCAGACGGCCCAAGTGCTGCCCAAGGCGGACCAAGAGGCCCCAAGACGGGCCCAAGAGGGGCTCAAGAAGGGAACCGAGAACTGAAAAATCGAGCCCTCCGCCCCAGAAGGCGCCCAGGACCCCGAAAGAGGCCCCAAGAGACTCTCCAAGACACCCCCAAGACGCCCCAATAAGCTCCCGTGAGGCCCCAAGAGGACCAACAACGTCAGGCCCCAGGCCCCAAGAGGACCAACAAATACCGCCAAGAGCCCGCCGAAAGCCCCCCAAGAGACCGTCACGAGAGCTCAGGAGGCCCCCTGGAGGCCTCCCGAGTTCTCCAAGAGGCCTAAAAAGAGGCGCCAAGAGGCCCCAAACGGCCCCACCGAGGCTCCAAGAGGCCACGAACGCGCAAGCAAACGCCTGCGATGGCACAATACGGGCCGGCGGAATGAGCGAAGCGATTAATAATTTTCAGTTGAAGGGCGCGCTTGTTTTTGGCCATAGGTTTTAAAAGAAGAAAGCGCCATAAACATCAACTTTTGGCGTTCCGCGCGGAGTTCTTGGATCCGCGCTGGCCCCCCCCCCTTCTAGCGCGCGGAGCGCGCCGGGGGCGGCGCCCCTGGCGCCGCCTGGGGGGCCCAGCGCGGACCCGAGAAACCCGCGCGGAACGCCAAAAGTTTATGTTTGTGGCGTTTTTGTCCTCTTCTAGTCTTGTGCCCCGGCAAGGCCCCGGCAAGTCCCCGGCAAGTCCCCGGCAAGGTCCCGGCAAGCTCATTGCGTGCTTCGGGGACCGCGGGTTTGGGAAAGGTTTCCAACGCGCCCGCGCGGCGGCGCGCGCGCGCGTGGCCCAGCAACGCGGCCTTCTTGGCGGCTGGCATCCCCAGAGAAAATGCACGGCAACTCGGCGCGGCGCCGCGCGCCGCGCGCCGAGGCCTCTCGAAGCCCGAGGATCCTGCCGTCGGCGCGCGCGAGGGCCTCGCCGAAGTCGATGCTCTCGTCCCCAACGGCGCCCCCGGGAGTCTCGCGGAGAGTCTTGGGGAGGATCGCGTTCTCCGTCGCCACGGCAGCCGCGAGAGAGGAGGGTCGGCGCGAGAGGCGCGCGCGACCCCGCGCTGGGGCGGCGGCTTGCGCGAGGCCCATCGGTCTGGGGACCTCCCGCACCTCCAGAGGCAACGCGTGGTCCTGCAGCGGCCCCCTCCTACGGCCGTCGCCTCCGAGGACGGGCGGGGCGGGAGAAGCAGATGTGGAGAGAGAGAGAGAGAGAGGAACAACAACATAAGAATGCGAAAGCTATGAATAATAGTACTAATACTAATGCTATACGAATAGGCATAAGAAAAAGAAACATAAGACAAACAACAATCATAATACTAATGATAGTACTACTCATACGAATACTGATAACATGAAGATAATAACAACTAGTACTAATACTAATATCAACATTCATATAACAAAAACGACAGAAATTGGCATGAAGGACGCGGGTCCTTGGGGGCCACAGTTTCCCTGGACCCCAGGGCCTCCCTCCCGGGACCAGCTCTTCATCCTCAGCCACTTCCAGCCGGCCCTGGGGCCCTGGCCCGGGGAGGGCCCCTGGAGCCCGAAGACGGGGGGACAACTCAGGACTGCTTCTCTTCAAGGCCCGTCAGCTTCACACACAGACATAGGTGCACATATATATATATATATATATATATATATATATATATACATCGGGATATATATATATATATACATCGGGAGAAAGAGAGAGAGAGAGAGAGAGAGAAAAAAAAAAACACAAACACACAAATGATACAAAAACAACAAAAAATACAGAGAGAGAGAGAGACCGGGAAAGAGAGAAAAAGAGAGAGAGAGAGACCGTTAGAGAGAGAGAGAGAGAGAGCGAGCGATAGAGAGAGAGAGAGAGACAGCGAGGGAGAAAACAAAAACAACACAGACATTCCAGACGCTAGGATGCTCTAGGACCCCAGGCTGGCCACGCGCTCGCCCCAGGGGGCGCGAGGTCCAGACGGAGAGGGAACCAGGCCAGAAAGAGAGAGAGAGAGAGACGAACAAGAAACCGTGACAACAAAAAACAAGCCAGAGGAAGAGAGAAACAAACCAAAACAAAAACCAAAAACCTTGGCATCCGCCGATCTGATTTTGCCACTCCGCGGCCGAAACAAAAAGCTCCGACCGCTGGCCCGGGGGTATTTTCCGCCCCGGATCTGCTTTCGCTTGCCCCGCGGCGCGATGGTGGCCCCCGAGGGCCGAGGTCGAGGGAAAGCCGCCAGGACTACTAGAAAACAACTCTTCGGGGATCTGGACCTCACAACCCGGGTCTCCGGCGGCCGCTCGGGACGATCCTGGCCCCCCCCCCGGAACGCTCTCGGCGAGGCGCAGCTGCTGGGAGGCATGCCGAAGTCCGAGAACCTGCGACCGACGAAAGCCTCGCATCTCGGGGGCGCACCGCGTAGCCTGGGCCAGCCCACGGCCCGGTTCCGCAAGGGCCACGTCGCGAACGCGGGCCGGCCACGAGAAGCAGGTCCCAAGCCCGTGCCCGCGGAGGGCGGGGGAGGGAGGTCGGCCCCAGGTGGCTCCCCCAACCCGGGGTCGGCCAGAGGATCTCGGAGGGGATCGGCTGACCCCCGCTGGCGCTGACCTCCATTACCTCCTCCCCCTCCTCTCTCTCTTTCTCTTTCTCCTCCTCGTCCTCCTCGTCCTCCTCGTCCTCCTCGTCCTCCTAGTCCTCCTAGTCCTCCTCCTCCTCCTCCTCCTCGGTCGGTTGATCAAGTGGGTCTGGACATTCCAAGGCCAATCCCAGCGTGGCAGAGCAAGTATATATAGAGCGAGAGGGAGAGAGAGAGAGAGAGAGAGAGACAGAGAGAGAGAGAAGAAAAACAAGACAAAAAGTATGGAAAGAAAAGAGAGCAGTGCCCTCCTCCTCCTCCTCCTCCTCCTCCTCCTCCTCCTCCTCCTCCCCCCTCCTCCTCCCCCTTCCGTCCTATTTCCTCCCCTCCTTCCCCCATTCTCCTCTGCCACCCCTTTTCCTTATGAATAACTCCTCCCTGTCGCTCCCCGAGACGTGTTGGTAGGGCGAGCCAGACGTTTCGCCTGAGACCCCCTCACGATTTATGATCCTCAAGCGCAGCAGTGTGCAGCAGTTTCATGGATGGAGGGCGGGCCGTTTTCAAAATGTGGCTCTCGCCTTAGCGCCGCGCGCATTCGTTCTAGAGGTTTGCAAGAGCTTCGTGGATTGAGGGCGAGCCGTGTTCAAAATGTGGCTCGCGCCTTTGCGGCGTGCACATTCGTCTTCAACATTTGCACAACAAATTCCACATGTGGAGGGCGGGTCGTTAAAATATGGCTCTCGCCTTAGCGCCGAACACGTTCGTCTCAAAAGAGCCGCAAGACCTTCACGGATGGATGGCGGTTCCTTTTCAAAATGTGGCTCTCGCCTTCGCGCCGCGCACATTCGTCTTGCGAGTTTACAACTCGAAAGATTCTGATGGTTGACGTCCCAGAGACGGTGATTTGACACGATGTAGGACTGTTCAGGCGCAAACGTCACGTTGGTTCGCGGTGTTGAAGTCCCATAATTCTGGCACGGTTCAGGTCGTCAAGACGCAACAGTCACGTTCACTCGCGGCGTTGAAGTCCCAGGAATGGTGGTCTGGCATGGCTTAGGATTTTCAAACTGTTGTCATCCAGCGGGGCACTTCTCTCAACAAAAATCCTTGTAAGAACTTACAGCGTTGATGCGTCTTGGGTTTACGCTGGTCCTCCTCCTCCTCCTCATCATCATCTTCCTTTCCTTCGTTCCCACCACCTCCTCCTCATCCTTCTCCTCCTCCTATCCCTTTCTTCTTACCTCCTCCTCCTCCTCCTCCTCCTCCTCGTCCTCCTCCTCCTCCTCCTCCTCCTCTCCCTTCTTCCCCCCAACTCCTCCTCCTCCTCCTCCTCCTCCTCCTCCTCCTCTTCCTCCCACCTCCTCCTCCTCCTCCCACCTCCTCCCACCTCCTCCTCCCCCGAGCTTTCTTCTGCCGGCGCCGGCTCACGCCCCGGACAGCCGCCGCGCGGTGCCCTGGAAGGCGCTGAAGCCCGCGGGCGTCGGGCGGCCGCCAGGCTCGCGGGGCGCTGCGGCGTCGTCGGCTTCGCCGCCTCTCGCGGGGCGGCGATCGATCGATCGAGGACCGCGCGGGGGGGGAGGAGGAGGAGGAGGAGGAGGAGGAGGAGGAGGAGGAGGAGGAGGAGGAGGACCCAAACAAGAAGGAACGTCAACGGTACGGCGACGGGCGGCCTACACGACACGGAAGAACGGATCCGACACGCCAAAAAGGCGGCAAAACTCGAATCCGACCCGCGCCGAGCAGGGCTTACGAGCCCGAAGACGACTGCCAAAACTTGGCCTGCAAACGGGCCACGAGCGCATCCATTCGAGGATTCCGAATGATGGCAGCAGTGACGGAGGAGGAGGAGGAGACGTCCGCCCACCCAGCCGTCCCACCCACCAACCGCCGAAGGAGGTCGGACTCGAGAGGGGTCGGCGCCTGGAGGGTCTCCTCGCGCCGACGCGAGTGCGGGTGAAGCCCAGCCTCCAGGCGCCGTCGATCATACGCCCGCTGGGGCGTCAAGGCAGGGCGACAAGCCTTGAAGAGGGCGCCACTCGACCTCTCCTCTGCATAGGCCCCGCATTTACAGCAATACACTAGGACCTGATCGCGTGCTGTCCAGCACGCCCTCAGGACGTGGCCGCCCACCCCTTCACACTCACGCAACTTTACAAGGAGCGGAGGGGGGCCTGGGCACTGAGTGAGGGGGCGCTCGTCCTGCTCAGGGCAAGCCCCAAGGCACCGAGCACAACGCAACTTCCAACTCCCCACACGACACCACTCGTGCCACGACACAACACGCGTTATGCTCGGCACCTTGATCTTCTTAAAGGATGGGAGCGGGAAAGCAGGAAGGACCGCCGCCGCCACACGAATGGCGGCGCGGAGGCGTTTGACCATAAGCCCATGCAACTCCGAGGTGGCGGGAGGGGCACGGGGGTGGAGGGAAAGGGCATCCTTGGCTAACAAATCGGCCATCTGGTTGCCACGCGCGATCCTTTCCTCATCAGGTGGGAGCGCGGAGATGACATCTTCAGAGCGATGGGCACGGGTATGACTAACGTGCCCGATGTGTGTGTGCCCTGGATGCTGGAGCGCACCACGGCGCAGACCAGCAAAAACTTGGGATCCGTTAAGCTGGGCGGGGGCAGGCTTTTGAGTCAAGCGCACAGCGCCCAAACAATCGGAAAACGGCCTCGTGGTCCCTGGGCCCCGTTGGAAGATGGAAAGCATAGCTAGGGCAAGGTGTTCGGCGGACGGCGCCGTCTGGGGTAAGGACTCCCACACCACACCCTGCATCCTACATCGGACTTCGCACTGCTCAGAATTCTCCAGAAAGACCGCGGCATAAGCCGCTCGATTGAGACGGGCGAATTCAGTTCGAGTTGCACTGCCGTCAACACAAACATCACATCCCGCGCTGAGCTCCTGGAAGGTCTCCTGGGACACAGGGTTGCCCTGGGCATCCTGGAAGACAGGGAACAACTCAGAGGAGGGAGGAGGGAACTCGTCGGGGCGAGGTTGGAACACCAGGAGCCTGGACCACAGGAGATCTTCGGGCTCCTCGCGCGCATCAGCTGCAATCTCTGCCGACGTCGCCTCTTCCCTAGCGGCGGCAACAGCAGGGCAGCACCAGAGACGATGATGAATTGAATCTGGCTGGGGGCACAAGGGGCATAGACCTGTTGATTCAAAGCCATGCTGCACAAGGCGGTCCTCGGTCCACATGCCCCCAGCAAAGACAGAGGCTACAACATGCTTTTGCAGCGCCGAGAATTTCTTAGAACGGACAGCTTGGACAATCAAATCTGCGGCAACCTCCTGCCCCTGCCCCTGCGTTAGAGTGGCAGCAAAGCTACGGCCATGATGGCGAAGAATACTAGCATGCAACTGCTTGGCAAGCAAGGCAGGAGAGGTGAAAAACAAATCATGCTCTATCTGGTTGTCATCGAAGAAGGTCTTAAAGTTGGTGAACTTCCATCCTAGGCGATGCAAACACAACATGGCACGGTGAATGGGGCCAGCACTCTTATTCCACTGCGACTGCTGCAAGACTGGATACTTCACGGCTACAGCATCCCACGTCTTCTGCAAGAACCTCCACGAGAGCACAACACGATCAGGATGCACAATTGAGTTCCATACTGCCTTGGAATATTGAATGACGGGCGCCACTGCTACCTTCCACGCTGGGTCATCATACAGGAGCATACGAGCGGGTAGCGAGCCTCCTCGGAACGGGACGAGAGCACGTCGTAAAACCAACAACTCTCTCTCCGTCATGCCAGTGACGAGGGAACCGTACGTAGTCGCAGGGCGCACTCCAGATATATATATCTTGTGAAGTCTGGCCTTGCCCACAGAGAGCCGTCGTCGTAGCGAACGCAGGAAGCCAACACGTCTCTTCATAGCTCGAAACCGTTTCTTCATCCGACACGTAGCGCCAGGCGCAGCACGAGGACGAGCAGGAGCAAAGTCAGCACCGAGCGCAGTGGCAGAGGTCGTAGCAGCCGCTGAGCGAGAACCGATACGAGCAAGCCGTCGATCGAGGCCACGAACGACATCATTGGAAGACCCAAAGACCACCGCCTTGTCGTGGGCGAGGCCAACCTGGAGCTCCTCCCTATAAACGGTGACGAGGTCCTGGGCTGCCTCCACGAGGGCTGGTACGAGGTCTTGTCGGGGGCCCGTCATGGAAACGCAGTCGTCATCAACGTACACGCCGAGGTCCAAGCGGGGGTGCCGCGCCACGAAACCATCTAGGGCCCCGAGGAGGTAGATCTGCACGAAGGCGTCATTGAACACGTCGCCAGCTGGCAACCCAGAGCGGGCAAACTGCACAAGAGGACAGTGATGGGCTCCCAGTCGAACCAGGCGGGGCCCCCTCCAGAAGTTGAACAGGACCTTGACTAGGGGCCGCGGGAGCCCACACGCCAGCGCACGATCACGCAGGAGCTCCAAGTTAAACGACTCGTAGAACTTGAGGCCATCCCACAGAAACCCCGCCGTCTCTTGGTCGACAGCCTGGCCACGTTCAGCGCGGACCGCCGCAAGCCACACTGCCTCCTCAGCTCCCCTGCCTTTTCCAAAGGACCAGTACTTGCGGGAGGACGATTCCAGGAAGGGCTCCACAAGAGGGCGGCGTGCCTTTTCCCACACTCGCACAAAGGACGCGACGAGCAAAATTGGGCGGTAGCCGCCTTGCGGCTTCTCAAGCAGTGGAAAGAGGAGCCAGAGGAGCTGGGCAGGAAACAGGCCGAGGCGCTCCGAGCACGTGAAAATAATACTGAGCTGCACGAGCGCTGTGTCGCTGAGCATCTCGACATGCCGCGGGTGAAAGCCGTCTAGGCTTTGGGCCGTGGATTCCGAGAAGGTCCGAGCCGCCGCACGCAACTGCACACACGTGAGAGCGTCCAGAGCCTCACGATCGGGAATCCACGCCTCAGGAGGCTCCACCTCCGCATGCCAAAAACCTCCGAGCTTCACGGTCTCCTCCTGTACTAACTGACACGGCTCAGACGTAAACGACCCAGGGACCGAGGAGGAGACCGTGGGCTCCCACAGCTTCTTGATGCGTGTCAGGCGATGCATGCGCCTGGCCGAGCCGCTGAGCGCCAAGATGTGCCACTCCTTCCAGGAGCTGTCTCTGGCTTTGGAGTGCTCCGCCTGGACTTCATCACATTCCGTGGCGAGCTCCTCCGCGAGCGCAGCAGCAGTATCCCACCACTCGCTGTCCCCAGGCAAATGCGGAGACCATTGAGTGAGCAGGAGGCGTACTGACGCCAGCGAGCGGTCCAGGCGGGCGCACAAGCCCTCCCCCGCGTGCGGGACTCGCACCGCCAGGAGATGGTGAGCGCCTTCACCCGAGACCCAATCAACATCATCACGACGCGTGAGAGACAAAAACTCACTGAGCATACCGCACATCCATTGCCAACAGTTAGCCACCAGCGTGCCATCATCGGGCTCCTGTCGGCGATGGACGATAGGCTCCCAGACTGACTGCACGCGAGCTCCTCGCCACCCCGCACGGGTGGTGGGGAGATCGCAAACGTCAAGTAGCTCCTGCTCGGCAGCATTGGCAAAGAGAGACCACACTTCATTCATGAGAGCCCAGGCCTCCTGAGAGGAGCCATGCTCAGACAAAAACTGCAGCTTGGGCAGGAGGCGCTCTGACAACGCCCACGGGGGAGGGGGACGAGGACAGCCGATCGGGAGGTGGGTGGGGATTCGACTGTGACGTCGAAAGACCAACTGACGGACCTGAAGTGCATTAGCACGCAGTTCAAGCAAAACAGGACGGTGCGGTCTAACATGCCACGCACTGTCCACAGAGATGCTGGCAGTCAGGGTAGACAGAGCATGCCCTACAACGAAGAAGTCAATCGTGGACGTAGACGAACTGGTACGGCAGGTGATTGCAGCAGGTGCCATGATGACGGCCTTGACCTTCTGCACAAACCCCGTGGCCTCGACGGCGGCAGGTGAGTTGTTCCAATCTGCCGCAATGACCGTGAGCGGAGGCTGGATGATCTTGGCGCCGATCGCGCTGAGCATGGACAGATTCTTCTCACGCATGCCGTCATTGACATGGAAGTAGGCACACACGATGTTGAACGAGAAACCAGGTAGGTCAATGGTAACCTGTATGGCACGATGTGGCACAATAGCCTTGCACGCTGGGTCAGTCCATCGCAAGCCAAACCCGTCACGAACAAAAACTCCAACCCCAGCCGAGCACCTCTGCGTCGCGGGGTTGAAGGACGACTCACTGATGAGGAATCGCCAGCCCAGGGCGCGCACCGCGGCCAGGGACTGGGGCGCTGTGAGCTCGGACAAGCCAAGCTCCTGGGCACACACGATGACACTGGTAGTCGTGGTGAGCCGCTCACGTAGCGTGGACCACCCAGAGCCATTGAAAGTCTCGATGAACTGTGTCGCCGTCGATGTCGGCGGCAACTTCTTCCTGCAAATCGGGGGTATTGGTAGCCTCATACACGACAACGGCAGGCCACAGACCCGCGGGTGTACTGCACCATGGTGAGGATCACCCCCGCCGCTGCTTCTTGGTGACGAGGCCGAGGGACTTGAACAACTCCTGGAGCTCCCGTTTGTCACCAGCAAACTTGGTAGTGGAGATGACCTGGGAGATGCCTTCCTCGTCGACGTCAAGGTACACATCATCATCCTCAGGGACGGGAACCGATTCACCACAGTCGGTGCCCTCATCCCCGACGGTTGGGCCAGCGGAGGCTGCCTGGGCGGCAGCAGCAGCACGCACAGCCTCCTTGAACTTGTCAAAGACAGGCGACTCCACCATGGCCTTGAGGTCGGCGTCGGCCTCCAGCACGGTGGTCGGGAGGTCGGGCAGCACGAAGGAGGTAGCATCACTCCCTTCAGGGCGCAGGTCCTTAGGGCAAGACTCGCGCAGCTCCTCCTGGAGGGTAGCCACCAGGTCCTTGGCGGCCAGCACCTTGGCCCTGAGCTCACGGAGGTGCTCCTCGGCGGCCTCGACGACCTTGACCTGCGCACTGACGTCGGACTCGAGCTTCTGATGGCGCTTGATCGCATCCTGCAGCTTGTGCCCGAGGGTGGTGTGGCGTGCAAGTTGTGGCTTGGCATCATTCCGAGCCTTGCGCGCCGCGGCCAGAGACTGCTCGGCACTGACACGGCTGGGGACGTCAGCGCCCAAGCCAGACTTGGCGAACTGGGCAACGATACCTTCCCAGCGCTGTACCTCAAGATCGAGCGGATCGGGCGGAGGCGCAGGCTCGGGAGTGGGCACGGCCTGGGACTTCTGGAGGGCGGCGTACTTGCGCTTGAGCTCGGCGAGCTCACGGGCGATGCCACCATCCACACTGCCTGGCGGTCCTGCCGCCCACGCACTCCCAGCACGGCGGCGACCACCTGCAGCCCCAGGAGCATGAGACGGCCCACCGGCTTCCATCTGCTTGGCCGCCTTGCGCGCCTTGTCTGCGACAGACTGCGGGGCAGGGCGGCCGCATCGGCACCGAATGCGCGATGCATAGTTGGCGGACGCGCCGCAGGACGGGCAGCCCCAGAAGGGGCGGGTCGGTCCTGGCAGCACATCATGAGCGGGACTGGCCATCCACCTGTGCGGGGGTGGATGGGAGCGAAAGAAAAGGCTCGCAGGCGCGCTGCCGCTCCGAAGAATGGCACCTGCAAGGCGCGCGAGAAACCTCGCGAGCCCGAAGCGGCTAGGAGGAGGAGGAGGAGGAGGAGGAGGAGGAGGAGGAGGGCGACTCCTTCTCCTTCGTTCTCCTCCTGCCTCACTCCCTCGTCACGATCCGCCTCCGCCACTTCCTTCTTCCTGGCGGGATGTGGCGAGGAGTCCACGAGGATCCGCTGAGGTCCTCCGACGCCTGGAGCTATCCACCTTCTAGTCGGGGCCAATTCCGATTCGGAGCTATTTTTCAGACGCGAGAAGGGGGCAACGACAGACCTTTTGGTGGTTGTTTACTTCGACTAGCTATGGGATGTCTATGTTGCAGGCAACCATGCAAGCACAGCTATTTCAGGTCCTTCAGATCCGCCGCCCCTGTCGGCGTGTGTGAGAGACCTGTCAAACCCTTGCTGAATTTACCCATCCAATACAACGCTCTAGCCAGTTCCACACAACATCAAATCATCTAGCACAAGGAAACCCTCATTCTCTAGATCTCTTCCCCGCTGGAGAGGGGGGTCCCGGGGGGGGAGTTCCCCCCCCCCCCCCCCCCCCGATCCCCTCTCCGGTCTCGAGTAAAACGAAGGCATCCCCATTCTCCACCTCGTTCTCCTCCCTCCTCACCCTCCTCCTCCTCCTCCTCCTCCTCCTCCTCCTCCTCCTCCTCCTCCTCATCCCTCGTCGTCACCTCCGGCCCTCTTCCCTCTCGCTTTTACATTCCTCTCCTCTCCCCAAGAGGGCCTGAAGAGGAACTTTGCCAGCTACGCTCCAAGATGGTCCAAGAGGCTTCGAATATCGTCCAAAGGCGGACCAAGAAACCCCAAGCCCCATGCAAACCAGTCGGTTTGTTTGGCGGCCTCCCTGTGCACGTCTCTTTCGTCGCCGCGGGCATCTAAGCTTATTCGTATCGGACTCTGGTTAGAATCCCTTTGAACTGTTATGACAAGTTCTCTGCTGAGATCCTGAAGCCTGGACTGGCCAGCACGGCGTCCCACTGCCCCTCCCTTTCCATTCCTTCTCCTCCTCAATCTCCTCATTACCCCTGCATTCCCTCATCCCTTCCCTCCCAGCCCTTCATCGTTCCGTCGTTTCTGTTTCATATTCACGGAATGTCCCACGTAACTAAATATCTCTCAACTTCCTCTCACGGGATCTCCTCATAAACTCGCCCGTCCGGCAAGGATGACCTCCCCGTGAGAAGGAAGAGAAGGATGAGGAAGAGGGGGAGGGGCCAGGAGAGGAAGCAGAAGTGGAGTCGAAGGAGAAGGAGGAGGGGGGAAGATGAGGATGGAGGAGGGAGGGAGAGATGCATGAGGAGAGACAGCAGGAGGAGACGAGGGAGGTGGATGAGGAGGATGAGAGGAGGGAGAGGAAGGCGAGCCCCCGTGCCACATCTCAGCCGGACCTGATCTACCCTACTCGGCATCTGCTCATCCGCCACTGGACGTGGCAGTTCCGCCGCGAAGTGAGAGGAGGAAGAGAAGGCTGAGGGAGAGAATGACGCAAGAGGGGGGTGAGGACGAGCAGGAGGTGGAGGAGGAGGAGAAGGAGGAGGAGGCTGGACAAGGAGGAGGAGGAGGAGAAGGAGGAGGAGGTGGAGGAGGGGGGTGAAAGATGCACAGAAGTTTGCAGTGCTGGCGCGGCGACCCCGCAGGCCATCCCGCCCTGAGAAGAGAAAGGAGGAAGAGAAGAAAAAGGAAAAAGATGAGGAGGGGGAGGAGGAGGAGGAGGAGGAGGAGAAGGAGGAGAAGGAGGAGGAGGAGGAGGAGGACGGCGGAGAGACAGAGGAGCAGGAGGGGAAGGGTGGAGAGGGGAAGGGGAGACGGAGGGAGGAGGAGGAGGAGGAGCAGGAGGAGGAGGAGCAGGAGGAGGAGGAGGAGGAGGAGGAGGAGGAGGAAGCGACGAGCGCAGGGGGGGGATGGAGCTCCGCGAACGCCGCCGGGGGACTTGAGAGGAGGGCAAAGGGGAGGAGGCAAACAAGCAAGCAAAGGCCATGCACCCGGAAGGACGCGTCGGCAGACTCGAGGTTGCGCCGTTGGCAATCGAGTGGAAACATAAAGTGCATGTAGCATTCCAACTGAAAGCGGAGGAGGAAGGCGGAGGACGGAAAAGTAAAGGGTGGACTCTCCCTGTGTTTCGCTTGCTCATCTCGTCATCTTCCGTGATTCTCTCACCTGTCGGCGTCGGACTGAACCTGCCACGGCATCCACAAACATGGCTAGCACAGCAGCTTGCACGGGCAGCGAGCCGCGCGCCTGTGGTGCCATAGACAGCTCCACTGACCACCTCGGCCTGGTTCAGCAAGAACGCTTCGTCCGAGGAGAGGTTTGCCAAATGGTCCTTGCGCTTGGCGAAGAGACACATGCTTGCGACACGGAAGGTGCTTGATGGCAGCGGTAGAGGCGCGATTGCGAACAAGGCTTCCCACTTCGCTGCAAACCCGACCCCGAATCACCGAGACAAGGTCCTTTGGAATGTTGAGCAGAGCTCTTGGACCCACGTATAAGTATTCGCCACCGTGCCTTCAGCACCTAGCGGAGTGCCCCAAAGCTCCTACAATTCTGCAAACAACTGGTTCTGGGCTCTGAAAGGCCCCCAAACCCCCGGTTTCCTGGGCGCTGCCAAGGATTTCTGGGAGCTCCTGGGGGGTGTCGCGTGCGTCCTCCAGGAGAGCCCAGAATCGAATCGATCAGTCGGATCGGCGATCGACATGAATCGGATCGGCGGACATCGGCAACCGAGTCGGGAAGAGTCGAATCGGCAGAAACCGGCAGGTCAATATGCCTCCGTGCAGGAATCGGAGTCCAAATCGGAATCCGAGATCGAATCGAATCGGCATCGGAAGCCATCGACATCGAATCGAATCGGATCGGAGGAATCGAAGCGAGCCCCTGTCCTCTGGAAGAACCCTCTCGAGTGCCTCCAGAAGCGCCTCCGATGGCCCAGGAGGGCTGCACATCGGCCTCAGAGCCCTCCAAGATTTCACGATGGCCTCAAAGACTGCCCACAAAGGCTCCCAAAAGGCTCCCAGGAGGGCTCCGACAAGATCGCCACGAAGGCCCCAAGGAGCCGAACTCGTGGATGTCCGTCTGTTCTTGCCGAATATTGACCTTCTCGCGTTTTCGGGCTTCCTACGCTACACCACGGCCCAAGAGGCCCCCCAAAAGGCCCCAAGACGGCCCAAGCGGCTCCCGAGAGATCCCAAGACAGCTCAAGACGGCCCAAGAGGGCGCCACGGCCAAGGAGGCCCACCAAAGCCCCCGAGAACCCAAAGGCCCCCAAGAGGCCCAAGGAGGCCCACCAAGATGCCTCTAAGAGGCTCCCAGGAAGCGACCAAGAGGCCCCTCCTCCTCCTCCTCCGCCTTCTCCTCCTCTCCTCCTCCTCATCCTCCTGCCTCCTCCTCCTCCTCCTCCTCCTCTCTCCTCCTCCCCTCCCTCCTCCTCCTCCTCCGCCTCCCTCCCTCCTCCTCCTCCTCCCTCCTCTTTCCTCCTCCTCCTCCTCCCTTCCTCCCTCCTCTTCCTCCTCCTCCTCCTCCTCCTCCTTCTCCTCCTCCTCCTCCTCCTGATCTTCCCCGTCATCCTCCCCCAAGTGTTCCCCGCGAAGGGTTTCCACAACGGTTGGGGGAACACATGGTCTGGTGGGTTGGCAGAGCTCTGGCCACAACGCTCGGACACATGGGCCATTTCAAACTTCTTGCTCCCCCACGCGTTCCCCGAAGGCTTTCCAAACTGACTCCGGGAACAACCGGCCCGAGAGCTTGGCCAAGCTCTAGCCCAGCTGTCGGCCACATCGGCGCTTCCACAAGGGCAGGGGGCGGCGGTGATTCGCCGTAGGCGTCTTCGATACATACAAACACAAACGCATACATGGGGACGGACAGCAAGCCTTGCAACGAATGGTTACCACCCACGCCACGTAGCAAATTAAGTCTGAATGGTCACGAATCGTGAGTCAGAGAATGAAGCCATAACCACGAATCACCATGAACCATGAGACACGCTACTAAACACGACACCGCGAGAAACGAACCACAACGAAGCTGGACTCCCGCAACGAGCCGCGAACTGACAAGAACCGCAAGCTTAAAATTCGACAACAAATCATGACTCCCACCCCGAGCCAACACACGTCACGAAACCAGCGCCACAACCAATGAACTGACCACAGACTACAAACAACGTGGAAAAGACAAGAAGAGGAGGAGGCGGAGGAGGGAGAGGGAGAGGATGAGGAGGAGGGAGAGGGGAGGAGGAGGAGGAGGAGGGAGGAGGAGGAGGAGGAGGAGGAGGGAGGAGGAGGAGGAGGAGGGGATGAGGAGGAAGAGGAGGGAGAGGAGGAGGAGGAGGAGGAGGAGGAGGGAGGAGGAGGAGGAGGAGAGGAAGGAGGAGGAGGAGGGAGAGGAGGAGGAGCGGGGAGGAGAGGAGGAAGGAGGAGGAGGAGGGAGGGAGGAGGAGGAGGAGGAGGAGGAGGAGGAGCTGGGTGACGACGGCCGTACAGTGAGCTGCGAACCAGAGCCACCACGAAGCACGTCCCGCAAGCCCCACACGGACCCCGAGCCTCGAGCCTCCCACGGGCCAGATGGGCGGTCGACCCGCGAACCGCGAGCCACGAGTCAACCACGAGCTGCGAAGCGTGGGCCACTAGCCACCCCTCACGAAACGATGGCCACGCACAATACATCGCATGGGACAGCAATCACGAGCCAACCCGCGAGCCATCAAGCCCACGGGCCACCAGATGCCAAATTGGCAGGTCGACACACGAACAGCGAACGAACCACGGCCCGCGTACCACGAAGCTTTCACGAACCACGAGTGCGGTTTGAACTGCTATGTTCGGCGTACCCAGAAAACTCTCGGCGAGACGTTCATGGGATGTTCACGAGGCGGGTACCCCTCCAAGTTCTGTTCCCCAGGCCCTTAAAATGCAGGGGAGGGGGAGGGAAGGGGGAGAGGGAGGGTAATTGAGTGGATGGGAAGGGAAGGGAGCGGTGTGGAGCAGGATGGATTTCAATGAAGTGGATTGAAGTCGGCTGGAAAGAAGTGGAATGGAGGTGGGGGGTAGCGGGTGGGACGGAATGGAGTGGACGGAAAGGAAGAGGAGGGGGCGCTCTGGATGGAGGAGGGGGGGTGGGGCAGGCGCGCGGGGCAGAGAAGTCGACCGGAGCCGAGCACGCGAGAGGAGCGGGGGGAGGCGGAGGGGAGGGCGGGAAGGGAGGATAGGGGGAGGGGAGGGAGGGGGAGAGGAGGGGGAGGGGAGGGAAGGAGGGGATGGGGGGGGGGGGGGGGGGCGGGGGGGGGGGGGCCAGCACAGCGGAGGGGAAGGGAGCAGACTGGAATGGAGAGGGTTGGGGGCCGCAGCCGCCGCGCGCCGCCGGCGCGCCCGGGGTCCTTGTAGACGCCCCAGCACATGATGGCCGCCAGCAGCTCCACCAGGGGGCCCAGGACCAGCAAAGCGCGCACCGCGTTCACGTGCCACGGCGCCTTCGCCTGCGGGGAAGGAGGCGGAAGAAGAGGGAGAGCGCGGGGAGGAGAAGGAGGGGGAGGGGGAGGAGGAGGAGGAGAAGGAGGAGAAGGAGGAGGAGGAGAATGGAAAGGAAGTAGAGATGGAGAGAAAGAAAAAGAACGTAAAGGAGGATGAGGAGGAGGAAGAGAGAAGGAGGAGGAGAGTAGAAGGAGGAAGGAGGAGGAGAGTTAGGAGGATGGGCGGGGGGGCGGATGAGGATGAGGATGAGATGATGATATGAGAGGAGGAGGCGGTAGGAGGAGAGGAGGAAGAAGGGGAAGGGGAGGAGGGGAGGATAGGAGGTGAGGGGAGGAGGAGGAGGAGGGGGAGGATTGGGCGAGGGGGAGCAGGAGAGGAGGAGGGGAGGAAGGAGGATGGGAGGATGAGGAGACGATGAAGGAGGAGGAGGAGGAGGAGGAGGAGGAGGAGGAGGAGGAGAGA